GCCAGTTCATACAGTAGATTGGCTCCGCAGCCGAAACGTTGTTTTTCCTTACTTCTCTTTTCCGCAGGGAATAAACCTTTACTTTTTCCTTTGCAGCCTACGCGTGCTAACGCATGTGACGAACTACATGTGTAGTAATGGATATTCTGTCCTGGGAATGGACTTTTAAGAAAAATACCCTATATATATATATATTTTAAAAAACTCAACGAAAAATCAATTAGGCGCGTTTTTAATTTTTCAAGTCTACTTGTGTGAGTGAGGTTTGAGTTTTGTTTCTGCAGTGTCTACCTTTCACCAGAAGAGAGCAGCAGAACTTTCCTATGGTAAAAGTCCAACCAATAAGACTAACAATAAAGACACTGACTCTTAAGTAATAATAATTCATTAATAATTAATTCATAATAATAGATCGCCCACCCCCCTCCCACATTCCTGTATCGGAGATGTTGTGCTGAGACCTGTGGACAGTAAGCTTTTCTGGGTAATGGAGACCACAATGTTTCTCAACAGTACACTGATGCTTTCTCCTTTAAATATGAATGATGCTATCAACAGGCTATGAAAATTAAGTTCAACCCAACCACCAAAAAAGTGGGGGTCTCCCAACCAGGCTCGTTAAAGTCTCTCAAGTTTGTCTGGCCTTCAGGGAATTCACAACGATCTTCTCGGCTTTTTCCCTCCTCCCAGTGCCTCAGGACAGGCACGTGAAATATGTGCACGTGTTGGGGTGCTGGCTACTCCAAGCACACTTCTCCATCTCTGTATCTGTTGGTAGGGATGTTTCTTGGTGCCGTGCGAGATAATAGCTACTAATCAAGATGAATACACTGAGGTCAGGAGCCAGCGGAAATCAGACCAGACCTGCTGCTTGAAAGAGCTGCTTCTGAAGGCAGGGGTTGATGTAAGATAAGACATTTTTCCAGACTGCTCCCAGTTTAGATAAGAAACTCCATGAAAATGATTTCCGTTCTCCATGTCGCCCATATAGGGAATTCATAAAGTAGCACAGAACTGCACAGACGAACACTTTCTAACGGCGATACTTCAAACACAGTGAATAACACATGTTGTAAGAAGACTTCCAACAGGAATGGCAAAATGCTGCTTGGACAAAATTAAAATTATATTTTTGCATAAAAGAGGAAAAAGAGCACCACTGAATTTCATGTACTCTTGGTCAATTAAATCACATTTCAGGATCCACCTAACAAAAGTCAGTTCTAACATCCTCTTAAATACATTTTCTCTATGAAGTGATAAGGGTTGATAGGCTTAATATTATTAAATTGAATAAGACATAATTTTTGCTGACATTCCCTACCAGTCTAAAATTATTTTGGGGACTTGGTTCTTAAAGACGTCTGGTTGGGAAAAAACGAGACATCTGGACATGCTTCTCCAACATGTCCATACATACAGCTATTCATCACTGGACAGTCGGCCCGGCGTCAGACAGCTCAAGAGAACCTGGGCTGAGTAAAGCCAACACTATCCCAGCAGCACCTGAGCTTGCGTCGGTGCTGGGAGAATCTTCATCACAGTTGGCACATGGGACAAGACAC